AAAAAAGAAAAAAGAAAACACCAAAAAAACATTTAGCAAGACTGGTGGCTGGACTGCTTCTTTCGTAACAATCAATTAATTGTAACACTGCCATGGAGGGGACAGTCTCAGCTTTTATCTGGACCATGATAAAATTCTTTTGAGCTCTACAACTGCTTGGCTATGAAGGGTAGTCATTGCAACAAAAATCAAATTACCTGACTCAGTTCTGATAGGAAAGAGTTTCTACCCTCTGTAAACCAATTAATTGAATTCCTTTCATTTCCAGCTGTGTTGCCCATTCCTGTAGAGAGATGTTCCTAGAAGTTCCTGTGTGATCTTCAGTCTAGTTCTCTGCATGAAGTTCTGAGAGAAGAAAACACCCAGTCTTCTATTCTGTATTTGCATCATATTAAACATAACAGGATGCTAGTTAGTGGCTGAAACTCTTGCCCAGGGAATTTTTCCAGAATAAGAGTAACAATGGCAATAGCAAGAAATATTGATTGCAGTACACCAAGAGTCTCTTCTGAGCTTGGAAGAAACCAGCAGGGCTTGTTCCGTGAGGGTGTTTAATGCATGCTTGTTTTAAGCATACAGGTCAGCCAATTCATTCAATTAAAATTGGGAACATATAGGCTGTTTTACAAGATGCATTCCAAAAAGAAAGGTGGAAAGAGAAAGATGCTATCCTGAACCTAGGAAATGAGGGAATGCATACGGCAAGACCCGGAGTCTGGCAATGATCTGAATTCACTTCCAAGTAAAAGGGAAGAAATTGGATTGAATGCCACAGGAGAAACGAAGCTGTTAGGAGATTCAAGTATAGATTAAAAGAATGAAGGAAAACTAAAGTGAAGCTGAAAGCAATAGTGACCTGTTTAGATAGAGGAAAAGGAATCCTTAAAGAATACAAAAAAGGAAATTAAGAAATGGAAGACAACATCACCTTCAAAATAGAGAATGGAAAAGAAATTAATATTGTTAAGAATCCTAGAAGTAACCTGAATGGGTTTTTGGGGCTTTAAAAAAAAAAAAATTGTTGCTGATTCTTTATTCACTGACATAGGCTTAAATTTCAACCCTCTTTATGCTTCATACAGTTAAAGAACAGGACATTTTAGAGCCGTTCAACACTGACACTTTTCTCAGTGGATCAGCAAAAATATCTGACACAACTGTTTCTGCAATTGTGTGACACTGAGAAAATCCAGTATTTAATGACTCTCTGATGAATACCTACACCTCTGAAGTGGTATGGTGATGTCGTTGTCTAATGTTATTATATTGGGCAATAACATAAAATCTGTCAGAATATTGGCTGGGTCAACACCTGCTAAGCTTTTTTTTCTCACTGACACCATCTGTAATTATTACTGTGAATGTGTTTGGTTAACGTTTACATTTATTTAAAAAACACATTTTTTAAAATTTCATTTTAAATAAGCATCTGAGCAAGTCAACTGCCAAAATATCATTATGACACAAGGGTAAATCATGTGATTTATGTATTCTTTTTTTTTAAAGCATGGTAATAGCATGACACTTGAAGGCAATTCTTCTTGCTCACTTCATACATCCACATTCCCAAACTATATTTCTTATCTGTTTTAATAGGCTATAAATTCTTTAAATCAGAGAATTTATACTTTCGAGTCACCAAGTCTATCTCATCATGTGATTCTCATTCTCATACAACTCCATCTTGGAATAAATAGCAAGAAAATCTATAAAGAGCAAATGAAAACTTGGATGAGAATTTACCTCTGTTCACAGATGTTGAAATTTATGTCTGTGTAAATGGCTACCATTCATTACATACACAAGTTAAATATTTAGTCATCTCTGCCTCTGTTAAACAGGAATTCTTGAAATACATTTCTGCTCTAAACTTAGTATATTATATAGCAAGCATTTAGAACACACATTTAGGTATCTCTATGTACACATATGCATTTGGAGAACAAACTGGCAGAATGTATCAGAACAGATTTTGTGCATATTCACAGCTTCTGCAGTGCAGTATTTACAGCATTAGCAGATTTTGTGCTGTCTTTGTTCTCTATCTATCCATAGATGAGCTTAGACTTTATTATGTCACCTAAACTTCCTTCAGAATATGAGATTCTTAGCTGACAACAGAACTGAGAGTCAAGTCATTCTTTAATTTAGGCCACATCATTAGTTCTGAGGTGAGATGCATTGAAGCAAAGTGAGCAGCTCCTCTAAACACCAAGTGTGGCCTCTGTGTTGAAAGGCAGAAATTGTACTTGCTAAGGTACAGAGCTCTCCCTGCTTTTCACCACTCTTAGAGAGAAAAGGCTTTTAACAGAGACACAGGGTTTTTCACTTAGGATCTTATGACTACCTTCCCCTTTGTACAGGTTAATTAGATGTGGAGGAGTCAAACACCACTGATCTCCATCTGTTCTGCAGCTGCCACAACTGAGGCGAAAGGTGCTGATGTTTTTCCAGTGTCATACCCAACAGTAGGTATGCTGGGTGGAAAGCACTATGCTGCTACTAGTATGAGACCCACTGCTCTCTTTAAAAACTTTTAGAAGAAGCCCAAGAGGTTTATTTAACTTTAGCAGCTAAATAACTTTCTATTTATTCTCTTCTGCATTTTAATTTTTTTTTTCACTTTAACCATTTAGTTTTCTTTCTTGTTTAATAGCTCTATCACTGTCCAGCTGATTTCAGACCAGTTTTGCTGAGAAATTAGAACTGAAGCCACTGAAAGTTCAAATGTTTGATGAGGTTTAAAGTGACCTACCATGTTACTGTAAAACTGCACTGCATCACATGATTTGAGAGTTTTTCACTCTTTTTTCTTTGATGTTGGAATAAGAATTTTTCCTCACACTTGGCACAGGTTAAGAGTAGATAAATATGGGGACTTATCTCACAAGTGTAGACACCTGAGCTTATCACTGACCAGTCTGGCAATAAAGTCAGCACAAAACACAAATCATCTCATTCTGTAGTAAATGTCTAAAGGAAGTCAGGTGAAGCACTCTTATACCGCCTATTTCTCTCCAATGAAGTAAAAGCAACCTGGAATGTTTAGACTGAATGTAGACACGTAAATGCAGACATCAAAAGTTAAGTAAAATTACTTTAGCAACCTAAGGCATAGCAATTGCATTTACTTTTTGAGGCTTAATGCAGTCAATGCTGTTGTTATTATTTGCATGGCAATACCTCTAGAGGCAGAGAGGATCTGTCTGTGACACACCATAAATAAATAATAAGACATCTTTGTCTTATTCTTCACAGGTCATGCCATCCTCTATGTCTCTGTGTAAAGCAAATCAAAGCAAATGGTGAACCACAAGCAGTGGAGGAGGGTCTAATGGTGACCCTCTCTACCAGTTCCACAGATACAAGCGTGTTGAACTGGATGGGATGCATCAAAGGGTTTCTTTTATTGTTTCAAAGCCACTGCCTACTATTTCAGAAATATTCCAGAGTTCAGATGAAGCCACAGATTACTAGAAAAGGTCAAATAATATTATGCCCATTCATAAAAAAAAGCAAAAAGGAAAATCTAGGAAAGTGCACACCAGTCAACCTCACTTCTGCCCTGGAGAAATTACTGAAGAGCTCCTCATAATAAGTTTTTCTAGACACATGAATGGTGCAAAGGAGTGTGATCATGAACTCTATTCAACCTTCATTAGGCCACATTTCAAACACTGAATGCATTCTAGTCCCTGCAGTGTGAGAGAGACATTGGAAAATTGAAGAGGGTTCAGTGAGAGGTTACCAAGATGATTAGAGGACTAGAGGATTTTATATATGGCAAAGGAGTGATAGAATTATGTTTGTTCAGCCTGGAGGAAGTTTAAGGGGGCCCTAATCAGAGCCTTTAATACCTAAAAGCCAGTTTTAGAGAAGATGAATATACATCCAAAGGATGCACAGTGACGGGATATAAAAAACACAAGAAAGTGGTTTCAAGTGAAATTTTATCTAGATATTGGAAAAAATTCATCATAAGAACAATTAAATTTAGGGTTAGATTGATCAAAGAAGCACAGGGTTCTCCTTCTCTGAAAACACTCACTACTTGGCTTCATAGTACTCTGAATACCCTAAGACCTGATTTTGACAGAAGTTCATACAAGATGGTCTCCAGAGGTCCCATCCAACCTAGATTTTTCTATGGTTTTGTGATACTATAGCAAAGATAACATTCTTGCCTCTAATAACCAAGACTATAAAATTATAATCTTAATTTGTTCATTGGTTTTAGTATGAATACATACTTTTGACTGCAATCTCCTTTGACTACAAAGAGAATAAAAATTTCTGGTGATATAAAGACATCAGTATGGAGCTATCTCAATGAGTATCTCTGGAAGCAACACTAAGACAAAGGGGACTAAAGAGGGCTGAAACCTCTTGGAACAAATATGTTATTGGAGAAGGTTTCTATTCCCTGATAGCTGTTGTGTTTCACCAGCTGTTATCTTCCCCGGGGAGATATGGAGGTCTCTGCTGCAGCATTCATGCCAGGTCTAGATCAATTCTGCATTTGGTCTTACTATAATGAGGGAAGTGGAAATCCCCACTAGATTTTGGGATAGTGTGGAAACCTTAAAAATCCATTAAAAAGAGTAAAGTAACAATCATTTAGGGAATGCTAGTCAGTAAATCAGTCATCTTCCAACAGGTCAAAAAATGAGACAAGATACCAACAGGAAAGGAACAAAAAGGGAATAATTCAGAGCAGTATGATAAGTACTGGATAAATACTTCATGTTATAAGGAGTGCTAGTGACGTAGTTTAAAAAATTTGCATTAACAGGTATACATCAGTGGTCAGACAGATTGTCATTCAATTTACAGTGGTGTGGATGGGAGCAGCAGTCATAACTCTTAAGTCTCTCTGTTACTGCTAACTCAAGGTGCAATGTGTTATAAGAGGTACCACTTTTCACTTGGGACATAGAGTGTGAGGTCCAAAGTTTGACTGTTCATCATTAACAATTGAATGACACATTTCATAAAAAGAAAGGTGTCAAGTGTAAAGTTCAAGCCAAATTCCAAAATTTGAAATATGGCTTATTCTTAATGACCTGTAACTCAGGTGTGGTTTGGTCACTATTCATCAAAATCCACAGAAGAATTCTATTTTCCCTTGGAGTAAAATCTGTATGTATCAAGGCAGGTTGATTTTTTTTTTTTTCCAAGTGGAAGTAATAAGGCAAAAAAATAGCCTTCCATTGGAAGCTGATGACCACTGTAATTATGGAAAGCCCATTATTTCTTAATAATAAATTCATAAAGCTGCTTACGTCTTTAGGGCAAAATTGACTAAAAGTTAGTAACCACACTAAGTGGAAAAAGTATACACAATA